GCTTTCTAAGACCCGCTCGATGACTGTCATGCTTGCGAGTCTCTTCGACGAGTCGCCCGGAAAATGTGAAAAATGTGACCAGATGTGACCAGTGCACTCGGGCCAAGCAGGAGAGACGGCAAAATCGTCATGACAAACATGCTACAATGCTACAATCGCACTAGAAACCTTCGGTGTGCTCTAGAGCAAACTTGCAGTGACTTACAGGCTGTTGATGCACGGGTTCCTGTAAGGGCGACCTAAGGTACGGTTCACCCAGCTGTCGATGTCGAACAACGCGCTTCCCAGGAGAAACTTTGACATTTTCGTGCACGCTGCAAATGGTTCCCTCCCTGTAGGTTTCAATCTCCTTCGGACACCAGCGTCCTTGGGACGCGAGTGCCGCAGCAGAATAAGGACCGTGCTCCAGCGCTGTAGCTCCACCGAAAGGCTCACGGTCTCTTCGAGGTCCAGGGGCAAGACCCATGGCTTCTGACCTCTGAACGACTTGATGCGTCTTGAACAGCACTGGTGCCCAGCCTGCCTGTGTCGCCCAGCAACTCATTTTCTGAGTGACTGGCAACGGCCCTGTCCTGCAGACAAAGGCCTATAGGCGAAGTACGGCAACTACACATCATGAGGCTGTACGCTACAGACAGCTAGCCAAGACCGCCAGCTGATAAGCAACAGACTCAGACTGCAGCGCTTCCGACCCCTTGACGCCTGCCACGACGGCGGCCCCAACCCGCTTCCCAGGTAAGGGTACTCCCCGAAAGGTGCAGTCCGGCGCTGGAAGCAAGAGCATGCAGCGAAACAAATCGTCGTCTGCAAAGACGTGGGAACCCCAAGCCAACTGCCTAAAACAATCTCCGTACGGAGACCGGCAGCGATGGAGCTCGAAACTAAAAATCCAACAAATAATGAAAATTTGAAGATGTGCACTTGGATCATTTTGGAGCCTGGAAGCCTTTGGATTCACCGACATCTGCACGGAGAATCGCCGGAGGACTCAAGACTCAAGATGGACTCGGGTCCTGAAAACCAGCCCTCCAGACTCCGGTCACATGTAACACAGAACTACACAGAACTGCCGAAGCAGCCTGAGGAAAGCTGAGGCTTAAGCGGGCTCAACCTTGCTGGCCTCCTTGGATCCACCTAGCACGGAAAGGATGGCAGGCAAGAGCCACAATCCGTGAGCTCCTGCAATTGTCACCACCAAGAAGAGCACCTTGAAGAAGATTCGGAAGACGTAGCTATCAGAGAAGCCCACCACCACGACAGCAAGCAGCGTGGA